AGGGCTCGTGTTGTCAGGTCCAGGGACAAGGTGCGGACACCAGTTGGAGGAAGGACAGGCCCGACGGTGCCCTGCAGTGAATCAAAGCAGTCCATTTTCGGGGTCTCCCATGTGGGTGCCAGGTCCCAAAGCTTTGGGTTGTCCTCAACTGCTTTCCCAGGCCTCAGCTGGATGGGAAGTGGGGCCACTGGGATTAGAACCAGCGGCCATATGGGATCCTGGCTCGTTCAAGGTGAGAACTTTAGCTGACAGGCTACCGTGCTGGAACTGAGACAGTAAATTTGACAAACATGCTGGGGCTTGGTGATGCTTTGTACTTCAAACGGGTTTAGAAACTACATGGAAATGCAACTGCTAAAATGGTTCCATGAAGTTCGAGAAGGCATTGTATAGCAGAAATGCTTTTGATGAGAATGAGACTGTGAATGTAGTTCTAAAGGAGCAGGAAGATCTCAAAAATGCCTACATGTTAGCCAGTAACAGCATTCTGACCCCGAATGATTGGGGCTCAAACTTTGAGAGGATCTGGCTAACTGATGATGTTTGAGTTTCTACAAGCTCAATTTTTAAAGGAGCAAACATGACAGGAGTCCTGGTTTGTTAAATTACAGCGGACTGATACAAACGTAGGTCCTTCATACCTGTCCTCTCTGGTCCCTTCCTCTTAACAAAATGATCATGTGTGACTTGTAGTTCAGGCAAGTGTAAGCTAACACCTGTTACTAATCACCTGCAACCAATGGCAGGCTGGAGTGGTCCTACCCCCCTTTACCTGCCCCCCAGTCTACCCCAGATGCTTGACAAAGATGAAAATTAATGCACCGTACAATTCTTACGTTCTGAACGCAGAAACCTGTACGAGTCATGTGGCAAGGACGGGGTGGGAGGGGGAGGCAGAGTGATGTGTCCCTGACTTGTGGCAGCATGTCGAGGGGCAGCTCTGCAAATCTGTTGACTTTCTCCACACAGTATGAACCAGCAGCAGCAGTGCCGGGTGCAGTGGCGCCCCGCGCCCCTCCAATCCCCATGGATTCTTGATGAACTGGAATCATGCTTCCCGAGTGATGATGGGATTGCTTCTCAAAGCCCTCGTTCACATGGGAGCCTGGATTTGTCTGGATGGTAAAAGTGACACACAGACACACACACACACACGCCACAGCCTTGCTATTTTAAGATTGTACTTTATACAAAATAACCAGTTCATATGGAAATAAATCTACAGACCTCCAAGGATCAAAAAGCTTTTTAAAAAGTTCTCTTTAAAAAAATTATCCAACACACAATATTGAACTAACTATTGAGGTAAGTGTCGCTCTCAGTGAAGCAGGAAATCAGCAGACCATGACAAAACAGACACACTACAAAAATAAATAGCACCCCCCTTCCAGAGTGGCCGGGAATGTTGACACGGCGCAGTGCCTCTGCGGCAAGAGCGGACTCCCGGACCCTGTGCGCCCGGGGCTGGTGGAGGCGCCCTGGGCTCCAGGAGCTGTACAAGGCAGCAGAGTGAGGTACCTAAGCCCCAGGGAAGGAGGGGAAGGGCTCCCAGAGTCCTGGCACAGGGGCCAGAAGCCCGGTCCCTCTGGCCATTTCTGTGCCTGGCTCCTGCTCTGTCCACCCTTCTCAAACCCATGCAGGACAATCATTAGGCTAGCAGGCGTTTCTAGTTAAAGAGTTAAGACTAGGGAAAGGGGCAGAGTTCAAGCCACGTCCAAGGACAGTCCTGCTGCATTCCTCCTAGCAGACAGAACCAACACTAGACTTGGCTCTGAGAAGGCAAGGGGCCCTGTTCTTCCAACTCCATTTTTGCAAAGGGGAAGTGCAGCAAACTCAGTGTTGTAAGGCAGTCCAACCCGCTGGAAGAGAAAAGGAGCCTGGTTCCTTCTCCCACGGCAACGCGCCAGCACAGCAGGGCTCCCAGCTAGTGACGGGAGCTCCGGCTGTCCTCCCCTCAGCAGGACACAGCATCACAGAGCTCCCCCGGGACTTGGCACTGGAAAACTCTAACCCATGGAACGGATCTGCATGAGGGACAATGAAACGTGGGACCAGATCAACAAACACAAAGCCCGAACCCTGTTCTCATCTCTCACCTCTACAAAGCAAGGTGCTCTGGAGCCACATCAAGATTCAGACGGTGTGGGGATGCGGGATCTAGCAGCCCCGTGACATTTCCAAGGAGGCCACAGAGGCAGTGAAAAACAAGTCCATCAAGCAGTGTGGACTCAGAGCTTGTTTCTGACGGTTGCGGTGACAGCAGCGGAACTGGGTGTGTCTGGGCAGTATATTCCTTGATGCCAGCAGGAACTGGCATAATAATGATGACAATACAGCAGATATGTGGCATAACGATAATGAATGGCTGGGCACAAGGAGCACTTTCGAGGGCGTAGGCTATATTGTATTAGCACTTAAGGTTAGTTTCAAAGGAGGGGCATAGGTCTTCAGAACATATAAAAATACACATGATTGAGGGCTGCCTTTTGGTACGGCTCTGCGAGAATCAAAGCACTGCTCAACACGGCACACGTGCACTGCCACAACAAGGAAGCCAACCTGTTAAAGAAATGTGGTGGCTGAACTGTAAAAACACAAATCCTGATAATTTGTTCTTCACACGCTTCCATCAGTTTTGTTTTGACAGTAGCTCCCGTTGCTTTTTAAATAAGCAGATTCCGACGTGCAAGAAATGAAAATCAGGACTCTTGCTTTCCCCATGCAGACTGTTTCCTCGGGCCTCCGAGCAAGGACCTCACCAACCACCCGGCTATGGCGTCAACAGGTGTGACGTGTTCCTCCTAAGCATCCCTGTAGCTCGGCCGCCCCCTTCTGGGGAACACTGAGAGCTGGCACAGGGACAAGGGGACAGTGACGACCTACAATGCAAGATGTCTTTCCACCCTGAAAGCACACCATTTTAGGAATATCCTCACTTGCTACCTCCTAACCCTATCACGCAACTACCAATTCCCTAATGAAACGATGGCAAATGCATTTGCCTCTGCTTTAAGACACTTGGAAAAAAGAAGTGCTGGAGGAGGAGGAGGAGGAAGACGAGGCAAGACAGACTGCTTGGGGCGGGGGGGGGGCGGGGGCGGGCGAGTAGGTCAAAGGTTCACAGTTGCTCTGGGCCACGCATGTTCCTGCAGCCTGGCAGCTCCTGGCTGCGCTCAGCTCTGCACTTCCCAGACCAGGCAAGGCCTGGGGAGGGAGGACGAGGACGTGCAATGCATGACCTCACCCACAGAGGACGCTGTTGCTCTTGTTCACAGTGTTATCATTTAATACAGTAGTTCAGTTCCCTATTGCTTGTCCCTAGTATTTTCTCATGTTTACAAATGGAAATTAAAAGGAAACCAGATTCTCCACCCCCCTACTGTTTATAGCATCTAAAGAAACAGTAACAGGCAGTGGGGGAAGGAGCTGGGAGAGGGAGGAGCCAGGGTTCCCTGGAGCAGGCACACACACCCTGCTATCATGGCAGCACCATGGGAAGAGGCCCTATGGTTACTTGCCTGAAGAAGTTAAGAGGGCTCTCGCGCAAACCAACTTTCAATACAGAAAGACAAAAAGCTTAGTTGGCCAGATGCTCTGGGCCCAGACCAGGTCTAGCTGGTCCCCTGCTTCTGCAGCAGCATAGAGACTGAAGTACCAAACCTCTGACCCAAAGGCGGGCAGAGACCTATCTATAAATCTGACTTTTTCACGTTCCTAAGCCAGACTATGCCCATGATAGCTTTCTACCCAGAATTCCAAAGGAGAATGGAGACTCCAAGCTCAACCCACCTGCAAACAACTTAGCATGGGAATCTCAGAGAAAATTTCCTATTTTTGTTCATCTCATCACTCGGCCATCAGTGTTGCCTACCCTCAGCACCAATATGACATTTAAAAAGCATCTGCTTCCTGCCAAGCAGCTCCATCCCAATGAAGCTGGTGCTTTGGGGCCCACCCTGCCAAGGGCTCTCCATCCCAATGGAGTCGGTGCATTGGGGCCCATCTCTCATGTGGTTGCTTCTGATGTTTCCTTGCTCACCGACAGGATGTGGTGAGCATGACAGATGTATGTTTCATCAGGGACAAGGGAACCAGAGGGAAAGCTTGCAACTGACCCCTTCTTGCAGCTGAGCTTCTACAGAAATCGGGGCAGGTTGGTAACATTAAGGCATGATCCCCAAAGCATGTGTCCACGTATGCTCATCTCCACAAGGACCTTGCACTTTCAGAACACAGCCCTTAGTTTCCTATGCCCCCTTCACCTTCCTTGTTGGCCATTCAACAGTTACAACATGGGGCCTACCTTTGGTGACCTGAACTGAAACACAGAATGCTAAGCAGGGAGAATCAGAATCCAGTGTTAACTCACTTCCGAAACGGTAATAAAGTAATACTGAAATACGTCTCCTAGCACAGATACAACAAATGATTTCCAAGAACCGTTCCTGACAGCTATTTCAAATCACAACTGCTTTTTACTATGATTCATTTAAAACGAATAAAAACTATATAGATAATGAAATATTCCTAAATTCAAATTGTAAGTCTACAGAATAGTTTTCCTATTTGAACTTGTGCAACTTGTTCCTTCACACTACCATGCACAAACCTGAGTAGTCGCACCCGAAGTGTGGTTGGTGCCAGAAAAGCCTGGTGTGCTGTCGCCCAGGTCACAGCCGCGACAGGCCTGTGAAGGGCGAGTCATGGAATCAGTGAAGTGTCACAGTGACCCAGGTCCTGATCCTGGTCACGACTGTCCGGTGGAGGAAGCACGGGGTCGCTCACCTGAAGGGCACGCGGCCTCCCCGGGGAGGAGCGAACCAGTTGGGGGACAGGCCTAACCACAGTCTGCCGAGCTGACTGCAAACGTCTCCAGCGAATGAAAGGCTGGCTGGCTACTAAGCAAACGCGGTGAGGCGCAAGTCGAAACCTTCCCTACCCTTCTCTCCGGCTCCCAGGTGTACGCTCCGTGATGTGATTGTAAACAAGTCAGCGATCACTCCAGTGCTGTGTGACCCCCAGGGTCAGGATTCCCATTTCTCCCAAGCCCCTCCCCCTACTTTATGTACAATACATTCACCTCCAACAGACATTATTTTAAAAGGCAACATGAAAATTCTGTAAACTGGACCCAGCTGGGAAAATATTAATACTACGCATAGTCCCTTCCCCAAAGAGATTACCTGAGTTTAGCTGCTCATGAACATTTAAAAGCACCACTCCACTCTTATGTATGTAAGTCCCTCCCCCGCCAAGCCACAAATGATTTTCCCTGAACAAGAGTCTCGAGCTGCGGAGAAGCCAGCATCAGTTCCGGTCCACTCGTTCCTCCCGGCTGGGCGCGGCAGCTCTGCAGGCCATCTCTCAGGAGGCGCCGTCTCTAACAGTGTGCTTCCATGCCTGGGGAGCGGCTCCGGCTCGGCTCCGGCTCCTGAGGGCAAGCGGCCACTCACTGTGGAAGGGCAGTGCACGCAACAGGGACAGAGCTGGGCAAGGGCCACTCACTGCCCTGGATTCTCGACATTCAGTCTTCATGTGCAGCTTTTCATTGGCTTGGGGGTCATTTCCTCCTTGGACTAGCTCTGGGACAGACAAAATAAAGGCATTTTAAGCAAACTTAAACATTGTATTGTTTAAAATAATTAAATACCAAAGAGCTGTCTGTGTACACTGCTCTACACAATCTCCCCGCACTCTGACCCCAGGCCTGGACACAGCAGCTGTTGGGCATCTGGCACACCAGCTCAGAGTCCCAGGGGAGGAAGCAGGCGAGAGTCGGGAGGCAGAAACACTGCACGCGAAGCAGCTCGGAGAAGGAACCCCACGTACCCCAAGACCCGAGTGACTCGTCTCTCTCAAGTGAACATTTAGGATGACCGACGACAGCAAACAGGAAGGGGACTGGAAGCAGAGGGCCTTCGTGACTCGCTGTACCTTACGGCCTACCTCACCTGAAGCACTTCAGAGGAAAAGTCCCTGAGTTAACAGGACGCCACAGCCCGAGATCAGCAATAAGGTCACAGGAGTTAAACTGGAGACCTTGTGTACACTGCCCCGATGCTCCTAAGGGCTACACATGGTGAAGTCGGCTGAGATCTGACAGCCGAGCCTGGCACAGCGGTGTGAATGTTGAGCAGGGCACTGGCATTCGGTGTGAGGCTGCCAGGATTTGAATCTCGGCTCTGTTCCTATTCTGGCTTCCTGCTGATGCGCGCTGTGAGAAGCACCTGCTGATGACTCGGACACTTGGGCTTGCGCCACACACACAACACACAGGGACGAGCTCCTGGCCCTGGCCCTGGCCTAGCGGTGCTTGCTGTGGGCATGTAAGGAGTGAGCAACATAAGGGTCGTTCTCTTTCTCTACTTCTTGCACACATAAATTCCCAAATCGGAAACACAGCTCTTCCCAAGCACTTCTGGTGAGCACTGCTCATTTGTCCCATCTCGCGGAGCGGTGAGAGAAGCTCTGCTTTTTTGCGGACTCTCACCTGATCCAGAGGAAGTGTGGCGGGCTTGTGTGGGGGCAGCTCTTCCTGTGCCGGGGTCTTTGGGAATGAGGACTGTGACTGGGCTGGGTGCATCTGCATTCTATGATCAGAAGAAAGCAGCAGTTACAAAGTATGAAGACAAACCACCATAAGGCAGGTAAAGACCTGCATGCATTATCTGGCTGATAGAAGCTAGCCGCATCACTACTGCAATAAACTCACGCTGTCTCCTGAAGGCCCACAGGGTGTCTGCATCTGTTCTTGACCAAAGTGTTGGTTGAAATCAGGGGAAAACCTGGACTGCTTTTACAAATTATTATTAAAAAAAAAAAAAAAAAAAAAAAGGGGGGGGGGACTAAGCGGACAATTAACAACCACAAATACCTGAGCTGAGATCAGAAACCAAGCAGAACAAAGAAAGCTCCACAACACGTTAGTGACAACGAGGGGGACTGGAACGGGATTAGTAGGGGGTACCACCGGCACTTGTGGAGGAGGGCTTAAGGGTCACACAAGTCCTGTGATGTCGTTCTCAATGGTTTAAAGAGAAAGACATAAACGATAGCTGGAGACATGTTAGGCAGGGGAAAGGATTTGACAGAGAGATGACAAGCGGCACGATGCACAGGCCTCCCGGGAAGCTGCTGACCAGGGCTGGTTCCCTGATGAGGCAAGCCACTTCACTTGCCACTGTTTGTAAGGCAGGTGACAGGCACATGCACACACAGCCCATCTGCTGGTTTACTATTTCAAAATGTTCGCATGTCACAGAACCTCACTAAACATTAGAAGCCTTGAGGATTTTTTTAAAGCTTTCTTTTTTTTTTTTTTAAATAATCTTACCTAGTTGATTAGGGTATAAAGGGTCAAGGGCCACAGGAAAGCGGGTAGTACCACTGTTTCCACACTAATCTCATCATTTCCCCTCCCCCTGTATCTGGGGTCAAGGGAGAAACAAAGGGAGAAGCCTCCCACCCATAGGATTATTCAATTCCTTCTAGATAAATCTAGTCTCCACTGTTATGGAGAGAAACTTCAATATTACACATGCTCTCCTCTGCCAATTGGAGCAGACCCATCTACTGTGGTCAGTGTGTCTAAATTCAGCAATCCAGCAGCAAGGGCGACAGCCTCTGGCGACAGCTTTCAAATGCCAGGTACCAAAATCTAAAAACTGGACTCTAAGCCTAACCTTGACTAAGTCCTCATAGCACTACTTCACAAAGGGCCAGGATCATGCCGCCCCAGGTTATGCTGCTTGTCTACTGAGTCTGCATCCCACACAGGCAGCAGCTGAGGTCCTGGCGTTTGCACTTCCAGTCCAGTTCCACGCAGAAGTGCCTGAACAGGTGGTGGGAAGTGGCCCGCGTTCTTGAGCCTCTGCATCCGGGCTCCTGAATTGACCTGCTCCAGCCCCAACAGCACTGGTTGCTTATTCTAATTCTGCCTTTTTTTTTTTTTTCATTGGAAAGGCGGATATACAGAGAGGAGAAACAGAGAGCAAGATCTTCCGTCCGATGATTCACTCCCCAAGTGAGCGCAACGGCCGGTGCTATGCCGATCCGAAGCCAGGAGCCTCTTCTGGGTCTCCCACGTGGGTACAGGGTCCCAAAGCCTTGGGCCATCCTCGACTGCCTTCCCGGGCCACAGGCAGGGAGCTGGAAGGGAAGCGGGGCTGCCGGGATTAGAACCGGCACCCATATGGGATCCCGGGTGTGCAAGGCGAGGACCTTAACCACTGCGCCACCGTGCCGGGCCCTAATTCTGCCTTTTAAACCAATAAATCTTAGAAGATAAATGAAGCTTCCCTTTATTCCTCAGGGCCACCTTTGTCACAAATAACATGTCTGTATTTCCCCAACATCTCCCCCCCCAACATACACCAAAAACAAACAAACAAAAAACAAACCCCAAACCCCACAAAAATCTTCCTACCCTGATGGTCTGTACATTTCCTGGAAAGGTCCTCTCACTCCACCTCCAGTGCCAACTGGTTCCATCATTACAGCTTGAAAGTGACCCGGTGGGCCCTCTTCCTGACATCGAAAGAGGGGTCTTTCCTGAGAGAGGCCATTGGGCTGGGCAACCGCAGGTTGGTGAGGCGGGGCAGCAGCCACGGGGGAGGGGTACACCCTGGGCTGAAGGTGACCAGCTGGACGCTGGGGTGTATAGGAAGGCCCCGTGTGTAACATCACACCCTGGGCTGGGAAAGCCGAGGAACCAAAACCAATCCCTGAACCCAAAGGTGCAGGGGCAGTTCCGTAAAGATATTCGCTGGTGGATAATGAATTCTGTCGTTTGGTAGCTGCATTATGGTTGTCTAGGTCTAAAAATTCTTTGGGACTCTCTGGTCCCTCCATAGATTCATCCAGCTTTTCTTCCTCTGGACCAAGGCTCTGCCCATCAGTTGGGACAACTTTAGCAGCTACTGCATCCATCTGAGTTGGGGAAGTTAAGGCAGCATTCAACGCCTCACAACCTTGCAGATGAGGCATGGCGTTCTTATCTGAGAAGAGGGAGCGGGCCGGGGGAGGCTCTCTGGCCAGGGGGCCGCCGGGGCTGCCCTGGGGATGGAGAGGTCTCTGCCAGTCAGAAAAGCCCTGGGGACAGACGTAGTAGGGAGTTCGCTGGTAGTGATGGTAGGCAGGTTGAGGTGGCGGCTGGTAGGCGTAGCGCATGCCATGGGGGGCGCGGTACCGGGGAAAGACGCCAGCGTGAGGGCTGTTGGACTGAAAGCCTGCAGCGGGGAAATGCTGAGGGTGTGGGGCCGAGCTCGTCCCTCCCATCAGGGGACCCAAGCCCTGCAGGCCTGAGCTGAGGTGGTAATGGGTGCCTGAATTTGGGTATTCCAGGCTAGGCACATACAGGGGAGAGAACTGGCTCACAGAGCTGGCCATCAAACTGGTGTCTGTGTTGGGAGGTGTGGTCGCATTGTGTCCTGAGCACGGCAGGGTCTCCTGGCCTGTTTTGCCTCTGGGGCAAAGGGGCTTTTCAGACCCACTGCCCCCAAGGCCTTTCCCTTCAGCCCCACAAGGAGATGCTTCCCCCAGAACTCCGTTCTCAGGGAGGTCTCTCCTACACCCCGGGGTGGCTGGGTGACTGTAGATGCCGTCAGCAGGCCAGGCGCTCTTGCCCGTGGTTGCTTTACAGTTGTCCACGGAGTCGGAGGAGTTGCCTTTGAGCTCTAGGCCCTCCGTGTCCCTTTGCTGAGGTGAATCCTGCCTGGAGCAGCCCGTCTGCAGGGGAGGTGTGGAGTGAGGTAGTGGGGTGAGGTACACGCCCTCTGAAGCTCCGACACTTGCTGCTTTCTCATCCAAGCCCTGCACAGGCTCTGCTGCAAACAGAGAACAAAATGACAGACTTAACAGACATGCCAATGAAAACATGACATGCAGGGGTGGGGGGCTGATATGTGGCAATTTAAGCCTTAACTAAACAGAGTTCTTAAAGGATCACAATGTTGGGGGGCCCTGAAGGTTCCCTTTGACAGGCCCAGTGGCAAAACAGCAATTCAATTGCTACTCCTAAGATCTGCCAAAAGGTAGACATGTCCTTTGCTTCCCCTTGCAGTGCTGTGGCAATCACATTCATGCTGCATGGTAAACTGCAGGGTAAAACCTAGCATGAGAGTATGGCTACCATTACAACTGTTGGCCAAGCTGGAAAGTTTAGAAAATTGACACAATGAGAAGGACCTGTGTAGGATGGACATTCAGGAAGGACATATGTCTGACTTTTATCACACTAGAATATAAATTCGAGGGACTGGCATTTACGCTTAGCAGTGAAGATGCCAGCATCTCCTGAGAGCCCACCTTCAACACTTTGAGCTCCTGACTCCAGCTCAGGGAGCGGAATTCCTGTCAAGTCACGTGGGGGATCTCAACTCCGGTCCAGCCCTGCCCAGCTTGGGTTTCTGCGGTCATTTAGGGAGTCAGGAGACAGAAGGGCTCTTTTGTTGCAAAAGAACAGAAGCTGCAGAGAAGTTTTCCCTCACTTGCACAGATCAGGGTCTCCGTGTCTAGTGACCAAATGTATTTATCTTATTTGGATGTCTTGAAAAGCAAGATGCTATAACACACGCCTCCAATTTAACAGATAAACCCTCAATTCTGATTTTTTATTAACATTTCAGATTCTCTAAAATCACCTTTCAGATTCCTAAACCAAATGAAAAGAATGGCTATACCTCAGACTATATGTGAATTAATCTGGATTTACAGGTCAAAAGCAGAAACCACAAGGAACATTAAGAACTATTCTTTTTAAAAAAAAAAAAAAAAAGCAAAAAAAAAAAAAAACAACTTTATTTTTACCGGAGAGGCAAATTTACAAAGGACACTCCCTCCAAGTGTAAGCTCTACTGCCGTTAACTTTTTAGGTAGACTCTTCATTGCTATAAAGTCCCCAGGGGTGCAGTGGGTTAACCTACCGCCTAAGATAGCAGCATCTTAGTAGAGTGCTGGTTTGGGTTCTAACTGCTCTACTTCCAATCCATCTGCCAACACAGGAGACCTGGCTTTATCTGCTCCAGCCCTGGCCATGTAGCCATGTGGGAGAGTGAAGCAATGGATGAAAATCTCCTCTCTACCGGCCAATCCTCAACCCACAACTCTGCCTTTTAAATAAATCTCAAAAACAAAACAAAAAGTGCAAGCGCCTCTTATCTTTGACTTCTGCAGTGAAGAAAATCACAACACATACCAGACATCCATCCCTGCAGGAACATTTGTCCCCTCCGGTTCAATGCTCACTCTTAAAAAAAGGACTTACTTTCTAATTAGAAAGGCAGATCAGATATATGGAGAGAAGGAGAGACTAGAGAAAGATCTTCCATTTGCTGGTTCACTGTAACAGCCAAGGCTGATCCAATCCAAAGCCAGGAGGAGCCAGGAGCTTCTTCCAGGTCTCCCATGCAGGTGCAGGGTCCCAAGAACCTGGGTCATTCTTCACTGCTTTCCCAGGCCACAGGCAGGGAGCTAGATGGGAAGTGGAGCAGCCAGGACATGAATCGGTGCCCAAATGGGATCCTGGCTGGTTCCAGAACTGGCTGCCCCCACTGCTGAGCCAGAGCCCTGTTTGTGTGCTTGGGTTAGCAGGAGAATGAGGTCCTTGGGCTCTGGTGCGGCCCAGCCCTGGCTGTTGCGGCCATTTGGAGGCAAGTGTACAGATGGAAGATCTTTCTTTGTCACTCATTCTCTCTGTAAAATATGACTTTCTAAAAAAGGGGTCTTTAGAAAAAATAGTAAAGGCAATATAATACACAGTGGTTAAGAGCAAGGATTCCGGGCCTAGTATGCGTATGGATTGAAATTTCACCTCCACTTATTAGCAAATAATCTAACATTTTTGTGCCTTGGATAAAAATTCATCAGAGGTAAAAGTCTGTAGAGTAACACAGGATTTATAGACCCAAGTACTATGATTGGTTCATAACTGAGTCGCTCAAGAAAAAGTGGCTGGAAACCAATTTTGATTTTGTCCAAATAACTTGAAGAGCCAACAGTCAGATGAAAAACGACCATGTGAATTACCCCGCCACCGTCAGGCAGCTGTGTCTGGCTGTTACCCTGTGTTCATCCTGGGTTGCCCAAGGCAGGCCTGGGAGCTGACACACTTACGGACACTGAGTGAGCTGCCTGTGGCAAGGGCCAGGGAAGTCGGGGTGGGGTGGTGAGGCACACCTGGTGGGCACACACGGGAGGAGAGCTGCTGCATGGCAATCATCTCAGGACTGTCCATCATGGAGTCCCCTCCTTGCGCACCTCGCAGAGCCTGTGAAGGAGCTCCAAACAGAGAGCCTGGCGCTGGGGCTGGAGGTGGGTGCAGGCGATGTCCAGCAGACTTACAGGGTGGTCGTATGTACCCTGAAGAAGGAACTCCATGAGGTAGAAAGCTTGGTTGTTCAGTCCACTGGTTTGGGGGAATGGGAGGTCTCATCATCCGGGAATCCATCATGTGACCAAGAGTGCGAGGCTGCTGAGAGGGTCCTGGCCCCAAGTGGCCCTTTTCATCGGGCCCCAAGGGTCCTGGGTTTGTAGCACCATGGTTCCCATTCCAGACAGCACAGTGTACTCGATTCATGTACTTGTAGGATCGATACACGTGGCCAGCAGGAATCTCTGGGCTCTCGGGAAAGTTGGCGGATCGGGCTGGAACACCAGCATGCCTGGGAGGAGCGAATCCTGGCTGGAACTGAGCTGGGGTATACACGCTTCCATCCTGACTGGGGTCACTCATCTGTCCAAGTTGTAAGGATCCAGGATGCGACCCCATGTTAGAAAGGTGTGTTAGTCCCCCACATATTGGCTTCTCTTCAGGTGCACCCGGCCTGGGTCCTCGGTGGCTGTTAATTCCAACTGGAGCCTGGCAATAAGACATGGCACAAGAATTAACCAGAATCTCGGAACTGGGCAGGACTTGTGTGCTTCGCCTACTGGAAACGATTCTTCAGAACCTGAGGCAATAAATGTAACTTGGGGAGATTCTGGGGGGTCAGGGGCTTGCTCCACTCTGATCAGCTCTCTGCTTAAAGCAGTGGAGGACAGTCCTTGGGCCCCTGCACCACATGGGAGGCCGGGAAGAAGCTCCTGGCTCCCAGCTTCGGGTCAACTCAACTCAGTTGAGTGAACAAGATAGAAAATGTACCTGCAGGTCCCTTCATGCCTCCTCCTGCGGGGCGGGTTCCTTACCTGTAGGGCGAAAGGCTGCTGATGCTGCTGGACAGGCTCTCCAGGGTGTGGTTCTGGGACTCGAGAGACACCAAACACGCCGCTAGGATCCAAAGTCCGAAGAGGGCCAAATGCCCTTGGGACTGCTGGTCTCTGCAGGGCAGAGCACAGACATTAGGTGGACAGCCAGGGCTGTCCTGAAGACATGCTGCTACAAGTGTAGGTGCCAGCCACCAGGCATCCAGTGACAAGAGAAGGAAGACGGCGACACAGAACTCACCCAGGTTTAGAACTTACTCCTAAAGAACGGAAGGCGTTTCCCCTCGCTAGGGGAGTCAAGAATAAAATTAAAGCAGCCTCTCAAATGTCCTTGCTGTCACTGCAACACTACCACCACCAAGCCTTGAGACATTTTTTCCTCCTCAATTCCATCCTGCTGTGCGATACTTGAGGATAAAGTGTATGTTTCACGCACTATTAGCATGCTTAATGTACAGAAAGAGCACACTTTTAAGTTTTTGCTTACACCGAGAAGACAGAATTGGACTAATCAGTAAATAATTCATGGGGAAAAGAACTCACACATAAAACTATTTGAGCAATGCCAACTCAATAGCCTTTATTTCCCCATCAATTCACTATTTGGGGGGGAAAGTAAAACAGATTTCAATCTACTTCTTACCATCTGACCAATAAGGGGTACTTGGCTGGGTGTTCCACCACACTGCAGGGGCTGAGAAAAGCCACGGCCGTTGGACGTGCCCACCTCCCGAGGGGGCTGTGCGGAACTGCTGCTCTGCTCATCTCCGGAAGCGGGGGCCCTGCGGGTAGGGGGCAAGGACTTCCCCCCATTTTCCACAGGCTGCTGCTTCTTGCTAGGTCCTTCCGAGTCCCTGGAGCGGGTCCAAACATGGCTCCCACTACTTCGCGCACCCCGATTCCGTTTCTTCTCTCGTTTTTCATCCTCTCGAATCCAAAACTCTTCATCCGTGTCTCCATCTTCACCAGGAAAATGTTTTGCCATTGCCCGATGGAAGCATCTCTCCAAATTATCAGCCATCTTGGTGTACTCTGTAAGAAGACACAAGGACTGACGGCTAGGCCCAAGATCTAAAATCCCTGACAGCACACACTAAAGAACGCAGCTAGGGGGTGTGGGTGTTCCAGCACAGCGAGCCAAGCTGCCACCCGGGAGCCAGCATCCCACACTGGAATGCCTGGGATGGAGTCCTGTCTGTGCCTGGGAGATGGCAGATCATGAATCCAAGCCAGAGATCTGGACGGGAGTTCCAGCCTGGTCAGCCCCAGTTATTACACATACTTGGGGAGCGAAGTAGTGAATACATCTCTCCGCCATTGAAAAGAAGGGTGAAAACAAAACGAAAACTGTGGTAAACCCCATGCTGGACACCAGAGGGAGACAAAGCTCCGTGTTTCAGAATCCAAGCTTGTATTGACTCAGCATTATTTCAAACCAGTGAACAGTAAATCCTTTCAGTGTAAATGCAGAAATGGCACACATTATCACTCAATTTTTAGTTTTCACATTAATATGTTTTGAGTGTTATCCCGAGTAGCCCCACATTTCAGTATCTGGGGACATTCACAGAGTACTATGATGACTACTTGGGGTGCTTCCTACCAGTTCCATCCAGGTTCCCTCCTAAGCCACCTCAAGCTAGACCCAGACGGACTTCTAGGATGAGAAAGAACCTGAGGCCAGTCAGCCTGGAACTGGGCTCTCACATGCTGAGGGAACAAGTGTCCCGGCCACACACTGTGGCAATGACAGACATCCCACGGCTTCTAATACTTCTATGTTTCATTAGTTTTTTTTTTTTTAAGGTTTATTTATTTTTAGTGGAAAGGCAGATACACAGAGAGAAGAAGAGACAGAGGAAGATCTTCCGTCCGATGATTCACTCCCCAAGTGGGCCTAATGGCTAGACCTGAGGCGATCCAAAGCCAGGAGCCGATTCCAGGTCTCCCACGCGGGTGCAGGGTCCTGAGGCTTTGGGCCGTCCTTGACTGCTTTCCCAGGCCACAGGCAGGGAGCTGGATGGGAAGCGGGGCTGCCGGGATTAGAACTGGCGGCCATATGGGATCCTGGTGAGGACTTTAACTGTTACACTATTGCACCGGCCCTTCATGAGAGAAAGAGAAGATGGAGAACTGGGACATTTTTTTTGACAGACACTATTGGAGTCCTCCTCATAGTGTTCAACAGACACATATCTAGCACCAATTCTTCTTGACTTACCGCTGCTTTCGCCGTTATACTTCCGACAGTTCCTAAACATTGTCTTCATATCATTCACAAACTCCTCCTTGGTACAGTATAAACCTCCATTCAGTTTCTTTTCCATACTCGAAATATCCATGGGGACCTAAGACAGGACACATGAAGTTTTTCATTAAAATATGCTGGACCCCAGTGAAACAAAACAAAAACCAAACACCAAAACTCAATCAAGTAGAATGTCAAAGATAGCCTCTACCTTAATAATCTGATAATAATTAGGAGCATAAGATTCATCCACAGGTTCCAAAAAGGGCCAGGAGTCCTTGTGAGCCTTGACCACGTCTAGAACTAAGAGCCAAATAAGATAACTGAGTTAAGACTTTCACACAGGAATGTATCTGTCACAAGCGAACAGCTGAAAATGTAAACTAACCTTTATACATAGCAGTGAAGTCATCGTCCAACTCAAAGCTGTAATCACAAAACGAGAAATGAATACTGAGTACCTTCTCCTTTTACACCGAGATTTCAAATAGTGGGATTTGCTTGAGCTCAGCCTCTAAAACTAGTTACACGCATGAGAACAACGGCAAAGCGAACCAAGGATGAGAACGCATTTTCCTTCATCTATAAACAGTAAGACTAGATGATCTAGAACTTTCTTATAGCGCCTTCTCAACTAGATTTTGCTCTTACGAATACTAAATATTCCTGCCTTGATCTTCAGTAGTAGCTACACACACAGTGCCTGGCAACTTCACAGGACATACTTAACATTTCATTAAAGAGCTGGAGGAAGGAGAGACCTTTGCACGGGCCTATCTACAGCGTATCTAAAGCAAGCATGAGACAGCTCTGAGCTCCCGCTGCCTCGGGCAGCTTCTGTCTTCTCAACTTGAAAGGGTAACACTATTACATGCCACAAGGTGGGGCAGCACATGAGCAGTTGCTACGGTTGAAGTCATTTCATACTCACAGGTCCTTGGTCTTTTTTTCCTCCCTCATGGGCGAGTTGGGATCCAAATGAGAAAGTTCAGGGGGGAGCTCCTTCCCTTGAGCCAGAAGCCATGCCCTTTCTTCCCTGAGCTTTCTCCTCTTGGCTCGATCTACAATCAACACAAAATGGCATGGGACAAGTGAGCCTCTTCATCTGCTATGTCGACTACAACAATCTTCCCGCTTTACACAGATCACATATTCGGAGAAACGTTTTTGGAAAAGCAGGTCTACAGAGAGAAAGATTTTCTGTTCAGTAGTTCATTCCAAGTGGCTGCCAACAGCCAGAGCTGAGCCAACTCAAAGCCAGCAGCCAGGAGCTCCTTCCAGGTCTCCCACGTGGGCACAGCGTCCCAAGGCTTTGAGTCACCCCAGGTCGCTTTCCCACGCCATAAGTAGGGAGCTGGATGGGAAGTGAGGCGGCCAGCACATGAACCAGCACCCACATGGGATTCCGGCACTTGTAAGCCCAGGACCTAGTCACTGAGCATTGCACCGGAGCCCCAGAGAAATCCTTTATGAAATATTATTTAAATGTCAGTTCAATATTATGCTCTTATTTGTATTCCTGCTTTTTCTTTAACTCTTATCATTATTTATAAAATTATTTGTATATACTCAATCATCTCACAATCCAATTGTAAGCTCCATGACATTAAATTATTTTGTTCATTACCATAGATGTAATTATACAGCCTTGCACAAAACTGGTGTTCAAAACTGATTAGCCAACGGCAAAAATTAAAATGTTCATCGTGTCCCTAATAATAAACCATCTGAAAAAGATATTCTATTCAAAACATACACAAAGATGAAAACCAGTTAGTATCTTGAGAAATCTAGTCTAACATTGAAAACAGAACATGTGTAGGCAGGCTTTCACAATACACCTTGTGTTTAATGACAGATTAAATCAGATTCTGAGCACTGAGAATCGTGAATGAATGAAGAAATTATTTCGGTAGGAAGATTAATTCTCTCAAGTAGCAGAAAGTACAATTTAGGACTGGAAGGGAACATAGCCAAGATTTACTTGAATTCTGCACTGAAAGAGTGCATTCAAAAAGCCAAATCCAAATACGATGCCACCTGATTCACAAGTTACAAATGGTTCAACACACTCGTCTTAGTAGAGAAAATAAACCTTGGCTTACAGCCAACCACGCCAATCAGCTACCATGACACAGTCTAGCAGCTTATAAAGCTGAACCTTAAGAAAACATCCAGATGGCTGCTGTCCTCTGCAGAACTATGTCTTGATCCACCTGCACCTGGGGTTGAGAAAGATGCCAGAGCAGCTGGGTGGGGGAAGGGCCCTAGCCTGCCTGGGACCTGGCTCCAGACAGCACGAAGGCCCACCTACCTTCCACTGCCTTGACCTTCTCCTCCAACTCCCGTTTCCTTTCTTCTTTCAACATTTGTTCTTGTTCCTTCTTCTGCACCGCTAGAAGGATCTGGCGCTCTTCCTCCTCCTCCTCTCTGCGCTTCTGTTTTTCTAGTCTGCTAAGCACAGGGGTCTCCTGGGGGAAACCAGGAATGTCAAGCTAGCACATGACAATATATAGCACTGATTCTTTGCTCCGAGTTAATATTCATATCCACCTGTATTAGACAGGCAACATAAGCTGGAAGATATATAAATCCATACACGAATAACACAAATACAGATAGAACATAAAGTAAATATTTATGTAAGGAAGAACACCAATATGAAAACAGTGGAGAGGTGCGCATGTTGGGCCATCAGGTAAACCACCCTGTCCTGCCTGTTCCACTTTCAATCCAGCTAACGGGAGAGGCAGGGGAGGATAGTCCAACCCTGCCACATGGGAGACCGGGTGAAACTGCTGGCCTCTGCCTGGCCTTACCCTGGCTGTCGCAGTCATCTGGGGAGTGAACTTGGGGAGTGAATGGACAAATGAACTCTTGCAAACGAAATGAACAACAAACCAACCACTACACGATGGAGATTTAAAGCATGACACATTGGGGTCGCAGCAGTAGTCTTTAGGAAATAACCTTGCAGATAATATGCTGGACAGAACAATAATTGAGGTAATTCAGAAAAATCATTCTCTTTAATTTAGAAATTGATGACAAATATTTTGAGGATCAGAGATAGGCACTACTCTGAGCAAGTAAGTAAGTAAATCATAAAATAAAAACAAACTTTTGTGGAAACACTTCCTAGTTCAGGACATTCAAGTGCTTCTTCAAATTTCTTTCCTTAGCTTCTGTCCTGATATGAAAGAACCTTAAAAAAAAAATGTATCTATTTCAAAGAGTTACAGAAAGAGGACAAGCAGGTCTTCTTTCCACCCGCTGGTTCACTTCCCAAGTGGCTCTTACAGCCAGGGTAGAGCCAGGCTCAAGTCAGGTGCTTCTGGGTCTCCCACATGGGTGCCAGGGGCCCAAGCACTTGGACACTCTTATGCTGCTGGGTTACCCGCTCCAGTGCCCGTATGAGATGGCAGCACTGTCAGCAGTGGTCTCACCTTCTATGGCACAATGCTGGCTCTGGAAAGCCATTGCTTACAAACGCACTGGTTTTAATTCCCGCAGCCTGCAGGTTGCAGGGAGCCAACACACAGAATCATGGTGGAGAGAACCGCAGCTAGCCTCGCAGCAAACGTATTACTAGCACTTGGGATGGAGCTGCTGCTCTGCTTCCCACCCAGACCTCAGCTCACGCTGGCCCTACAGGTCAGGAGGTCAAGGCCCTTTGCTAGCTAGGCGGAAGACCTGGCTGTAGGCTGGCTCAGCCCTGGGCAGGCATACAGGAACTGAACCAGCAGACGGAAAACCTGCTCGTTTGGTTGTGTGTAAAAGCAAATTAGAAAAACAGCATTTAAAATGATTATTTCTCCTCCTCCTAATTTATAACTTGTGTGTATTCTGTTCCTCTCCCACAAGGAACAGATGTAAATATAGGAAACAGCCTTCAAGGAGAAAAAGCCTACTAAAAGCCTACTAGCATGAGGATTTTTCTAAGGACTTAGGCAAATGTAAATCAACTACTGATACCCAGATTATTAACCTTTGAATGATTTTCCTGTAAAACACAGCAGGCTTTTTAAAGGTTTTTAAATTTTTATTGGAAAGACAGATATACAGAAAGCCTGAGAGAGAAAGATCTTCAGTCTGCTGGTTCACTCCCAAAGTGGCCTCAAAACTTAGAGCTGAGCTGAGCTGATCTGATCCGAAGCCAGGAGCTTTTTCTGGGTCTCCCATGTGGATGCAGGGTCCCAAAGCTTTGGGCTGTAACCAGGGAACTTGAAGGAAGTGGAGAGGCAGGGACTCGAGCAGCGCCCCTATGGGATCCTGGTGCTTGTAAGGCCAGGCTTTAGCCACTGAACTAAGGCAGCTGGCCCCACGGCACGCTTTCTGAGTCAGCTCCTGGCTCTTGGCGTCAACCTGGTCCTGCCTGCCGCCATTTGGAGAGTCCACCAACAGGGGAAGAGCCCTCTCTTTCCTTTCTATAATTCCTGCTTCACACAGAAAGTAACAGATCTTGAATATATAAAGAAAAGGTTGTGTCACTGTAAATATGTAAAGATTATCCTTGTACTGCCTCTTTTCTGAGGTGAAATTCACATAAAAACAAACCATTTAAAATACACATTTAGTGGTACTTACTGCTCATAATTACTATGAAAGTAGCAACCACATTAAATCCCCACACCCCGACACGCTCACAGGAAACCGCACACACGAAGCTGCGATGCCCTGTTCCCTCGCCCCCAGCCCGGGCAACCAATCTGCCCTTTTTCTACATTTCTCCTGTACATGTCGCGAGCAGCACCACACAATGTGTCTACTTGGCTGTCTATTAAAAATAACACTTAGAGCATTCAATAACTTGAACTTACAACATCTTGAAAAATAAACTTAATGCTTCATACAAGTCTGTGAAAAGTTCTTTCTCCAGAATTAAACCACCAACTGAGCGTGGCTGCATTACCTGAAGAAACCACCACGTAGCTTTCCACTCTGAATCCGCTCCAACATCATGATATAACACACACACCTGAGGAAAATGATGCATGCTGGCTCCAACAGAAAATCTTTGTACTAATTGTCAGTATCATGGCATCTCAAGATAGTCCCACTGTAAAGTTCAAGTCTAACTACCTGAAGACAACCTAGGAAAGTGTTTAATCACCAAAGAATCAGTAGAGTCAAAAAAAAAAAAAAAGTTGAAAACAATCTTGCCTTTCTTGGTCAATAGTGAATGGGACAAGGTTTCATATTTAAGTGCTTGGTGGAATAAAGCAAGAGGTCTGCTAGAATCAAGGGACGGTTTTAATGAGATGCTAACATGAAATACAAGTTAGCAAATGTGAGAAGTTTTCAGAATCTCTGGTCTGAGCAGTACACTTAGGGAAGGTCAGAAGACTGGCTGGCACCATGACCAATGCCGATCGGTTCTATTACCCCTGCTGGGTGGGGCCTAGATCCTTTGTCCGGCCTGCGTGGTGGGAGTCAGGAAGGTTTGCCCCAGAGGGTGTCAGGTGCAGCTCAGGCTCGGCAGCCAGAGGTGCCAATGGCGCCGGGTGAAGCCCATGGGCTGCAAGGCAGTGCACTTATGAGGGCTTGGGTGTTAGTTTTAAATGCAGTTAAGTCTTACGTGCAGCTAATTTCCCGCAGCCAAGTCCTCTTTTCGTGATAGTTTACTCAAGCCGACCAGATGCAGCGCGGTATTGGGAGGTTCTTCCTTCCAGCAGGGTAGGAAAGTGGGTATGTGTGGGAAGAGGGAGCAGGCTGGGAACCAGAAGGGAAAACTCTCCTGCCATGGTGGCTGGATAGGGGCTGCCAGGGCAGGGAAGGGGGTAAGATGGAAGATGGGGGAGAGCCAGGGTTAGGGGAAGCAAAGGGCACACATGAAGGCTCACTTTATAGGACCCAAGTGGGCCTGGAAGGTGTTGGGGGAGGGTGTGGGGAATTGGTTAGGAGGGGCTGCGGGTGGGTCCCTGGGACTGGCGACTGGGATAATCACAGGTGATTGGTATGTGGGCGGGGATCAGGGGGCGGGACCGTGAGAGCACATCCGGTGAGGTTCTCAGTAAGATGCCATGAGGTTACATTTCATTGGTGGATAACTGGAACCATGAGAGCTGTGGCAAAGGGGAAGTAGATACAAAATGGTTCATTCCTCATTTGGAGGGGGGTATAGGCTTGCAAGAGGCCTGGGGGTGGTACAGGTAGGGCTGTGCGGGAACCTGACAGCTCAAGTCCAGGATCTGTGGTCCGTCTCTAGTCATGTGTCAGAACTGGGTCTCTCAGTGGAAAACACAGCGCAGTGGACGGCATACCCAGATGCACGTGGGGGTCTGACGGCCCACTGGGGCCTGCAGAGGACATCTAGTGCCATCGCAAACAATGCAGGGGAGAACAACCTGGACAACTACCCCAGCCAAGCAATCAAAGCAAGTACCTGGGCAAATGGGGAATTTAAGATGAACCATGTCAGCCAATGGAGGTTGGGAGAATTTCCTCTCTTGGATTGGCGAGATCGATTGCATTTTAGAACTTTTCAAACCACGTAAGCAGAACCCTCAGAACATGCTCCACTTTGGGGACTCTGGGTTGATAATGACTGGCCCTGGGTTCTGGGGTGGTTGGGAGGCTGGGTGTGGCTACTCCACTTGTCTCTCCCTTCCCCGAGAAACAGGAGGAATAAAAAAATGCGGAAACAGGGCCCGGCGTGGTGGCGCAAGTGGTTAAAGGTCCTCGCCTTGCACCCCCGGGATCCCATATGGGCGCCGGTTCTAATCCCGGCAGCCCCGCTTCCCTTCCAGCTCCCTGCTTGTGGCCTGGGAAAGCAGTCGAGGACGGCCCAAAGCTTTGGGAACCTGCACCCGTGTGGGAGACCCGGAAGAGGCTCCTGGCTTCGGATCGGCATAGTATCGGCCCGTTGCGCTCACTTGGGGAGTGAATCATCGGACGGAAGATCTTCCTCTCTGTCTCTCCTCTCTGTATATCCGCCTTTCCAATGAAAAAATAATAAAAATAAATCTTAAAAAAAAAAAAAATGCGGAAACAATGATCTCACTCCACTTTCTCTTAACCCTTGCTCCTTCCCACCCTGATCAACTAAGTTAAAAAAAAATTATATATATATATAATAAAAATAAAGCAACAAAACAAAATGGAGAAAACCCTGAGCCCCCATCCCAAGCAGCTTCCCAGAAACAACCAGTGAGCTCTAACCCTGAGTTCACCTGCAATCTGCCTTCACTAGTATTTTCCCCAGGAGTAACAATTAAAAGACTTTCTGAGGCATAACCTTGGATTCCCAGGCGCTCAGCAGATGCCAGAAATGCTGCCTGCATGCTTTTCAGGTACGCTTCCACACCCCGAGCCCCAACCTTAGAATCAAACAAATTTCAGTGTAACGATGCTATTTGTAGATCAATGAAGAGCCTTTCGGTGGGAAACAGATTAGTGTGCAACCCTGATCGGACAACAGAAGGACAGAGGGTCCAGCACAGTGCCCTAGTGGATAAAGTCCTTGCCTTAA